GCTGCCCTTGCAACATCAGCTGCAACTGGCTTTTTTGACCCAGTGTTGATTAGATCACACTATTTTGTGGATGGTGTGTTGGGTGCAAACAATCCAGTGGACGAAGTGGAGGGGGAGGCTTCCAATATTTAGTGTCCAGACACAGGAGATTTGAAGCCCCTTGTGAAGTGTTTTATTTCAATCAGGACAGGCAACCCCGGCAAGCAAGCAATTAAAGACAACATTTTCAAGTTCTTCTCTAAGATGCTTGTCGCAATTTCCACAGAGATAGAAGAAACAGAGCGGAAGTCTATAGCCAGGTAGGCTGGACACTTTGATGAAAAGCATTTCTTCCGCTTTAACATAGAGCAAGGGTTGCAGGATGTTGGTCTCGCCAAGTATCAGAACCAAGGTCGGATTGAGACAGCAATGTATGAATACATGAGGCACTAGAATTAAAAATTTTGTGTCCAAGATTACGTACAAAATCTGAAGCAGAAGGAAAGTGCGTATATTGAAGACTTCGGTTAGATATTTTAAGGATTACTTTAAGCTGATATTTGCTTAGATTTTACAAAGGTCAGATTTGACAAGACCATCCATATAAGTAAATGAAACTATAGCAGTATGCACCTCGGCTCAACCAAGTTAGGAATATAAAACACACTTAATAAAGCTACAGACCTGTAAGAAGCCTTCCTAGAGCAAGAAGCATTGCTAACAACTCAACAGCCAGTCATTATGCTTACAGAAATATTCCTTTTCCAAGAAACAAGGATTTCGTTGGCTGTGCTGAGCAGCTTGAAAAGCTAGAAGAGCTGCTGTTTTCCCCAGGCCACCAACACAAGGTTGCAATCACCAGGCTTGGCGGTGTTAGCAAAACATAGCTTACTCTTAAACTTGCTTACCAAACCCAGCATACGCAACCAGAGTGCTTAATCTATTGGATCCCAGCTGCAAACATTAAAACTCTCCAACAAATATATTTTGAAATTGCCCAACAGCTATAATTACCAGGATTCAACAACAAGTAAGCTGATGCTAAGAAGCTCTTGAAAGATTACCTATGCTACAGTAGGGCTGGCCAGTGGTTGCTGATATTTGATAATACAGATGATATCAGCATGTGGTTTGGCAAGCCCAAAGGCCCTACTAAGCCATGCAGGTTGAGCAAATATATTCCATGGAGTAAAACAGGTAGTATGCTTTTCACAACACATTTCAAGAAGATCACCGCAAAGCTCACAAAGCAAGATGTGATCGCAGTTCCAGACATAGACAAGGCAAAAGCAACAGAGCTTCTTGGCAGATACTTGGGGGATAAGTCCCTACTACAAGATAGAGATCAAGCTTCGCTGCTTCTCAAGCAGCTTATGTACCTGCCCTTGGCAATTATACAGGCTGCCTGTTATATTAATAAGAATTGCCTCGCTTTGCTTTCGGAATACCAATCACTCCTGCTAGAGCCCGAGGAAGAGGTAATTAATCTTCTGAGCCAGGATTTTGATGACGATGGACGACCTTATAATATGCCAAATGCGGTTGCTACAACCTGGCTTATATCCTTTGAGAGAATTCAGGATACCAACCCCTTTGCTGCTGATATCCTGTCATTTATTGCTTTGATAGAACCAACAGCTATTCCAAAGTCTATTCTACCGCCCGCGCCAACACCCAAAGTGTGGGTCGAAGCAATCGGGACATTGGAGGGGTATGCCTTCGTGAGCAGACAGTCTGCCGAACAGACTGCCAAACAGACTTTCGACCTTCACCGACTTATTTATCTTGCGACGCGTAACTGGTTGAGAAAGAATGCAATTCTATCAGAATGGACCCATGCAGCACTGGTACAACTGGAAGAGATCTTCCCAAATGACGATTATATAAATAGGGGGCTGTGGACGGGGTATTTGCCGCATGTGCTAAAACTTCTAGAAAGGGTGGAAGTCAAAAGGGAAAACATGAAGTATGAGCTAATTTTCAAAGTTTTAATGTGCCTTTTAGCGGACGGCTAAGCAACAAAGGCCGTTAAATACCTTGAAGAATATCACGATTGCCAGAAAAGGCGATATAATGAATCGCACCCCTTGTGACTAGCGTCTCAGCATGCACTCGCAGGTGCATACCAAGAAAATGGTCAGATCAAGCAAGCAGTGGAGCTACTTGAGCATGTGGTTACAGTAGACAAGAGAACCCTTGCTGAAGAGCACCCTGATCAACTGGCATCTCAGCATGCACTCGCAAGTGCGTACAAAGCAAATGGGCAGATTAAGCCAGCAGTGGAGCTGCTTGAGCATGTGGTTGCAGTGCAAGAGAGAACCCTTGC